CCTTTGTGCCGCCGCGGAGTATTGCAGTCCAACAGTTGCTGTTTCGCCAAGGTACTTGGCCACCCTCTCTCCAGCTGCTACCTGTTATTCATTAGAGCATTGGACAACCCTAGCCAGCTGCCCGGTAGCAAAGGCTGCATCTAGCCTTGTGTGAACGGCCGCATACATGAGGCTGCCCACCAAGGAGTGAAAACGGCGCCTCTTCTCTTCACCAACACTTTCCTCCACTGGTCCTTTCACACACTTGAACCCTGAGGGAAGAGGAGTAGCCACATGACCTTCACTCTTCCCAAAGTTTGCAGCCAAGGCCTCCTAGTACTTTTTTTTATGCACTCGCATCCACCGCTTCCCCACATCTCGCTCAATGTGAAGCCCAAGGTAGTAGTTGACGTCACCAAGGGTCTTGCACTTGAACTTGTCTTGAAGCTTCAGCATCACCTCCTTCACAAGGTCAGAGGAGGGTGAGAATATGAGGATGTCATCCACATAAACCACCATGAAGCTCCTCTGCTCCCCCTCGCCAAGCATGAACAAGGATTGATCGGCCGTTGAGGGAGTGAATTCGATCGCCTCCAAGACTTCCCGCAGCTTGATGTACTATTGCCTAGGGGCTTGCTTGAGGCCATAGAGTGCTTTCTTCAGCTTCCACACTCTGCCACTCCCATCATTGTACTCCTCTGGCTGCTCCATGTAAGTCTCTTCCTCAAAATCTCCGTTGAGGAAGGCCGTTACAATATCCATTTGCTTAACCACCCATCCTTTGATGGCCGCCGCGGTGAAGAGAGTTCAAAGGGTTGTACCCTTAACCACAGGGGCATATACTTCATTGTAGTCCTTCTTCTCCTGCTGCTGGTATCCCTTGGCCACAAGCTTGCTCTTGTAGCGCTCAATGTTGCTGTCGGCGTCGGTCTTGCGCTTGAAGATCCACTTGGAAGAGATCGCCTTCCACCGTGGAGGTAGATTCTCCAAGTCAAATGTGTCTTTCTCTATGATGCTCCCCATTTCTTCATCTGAGGCATCTTCCACTCCTTCCCATTGGGGCCTTCCCAAGCCTCCTTGGGATTTCTAGGCTCCCCCGGCATTTCCACCGGAGAGAAGAAGGCAAAAGCGCACTCCTCGCTTTCATCTTCCGCATCATCGCCTAGCATGAGAGCCGAACCTGTCAAGGTTGAGTTGGCTGGTCCTCCAAGCTGTTCATAGTTCAACCTTTTTGGGGGCTGAGTCTTCCTTCTTCCCCTTCATTCCTCCTCTGCTGCAGGGACTTGGATGCTCTCATGGAGTTGCTACAAATCTGGTCGGTTCCTGCGAGCACTTGAAGCACGAGGCGGAAGTGACGGTGCACGCTCATCACCTTGCTGCACCTCCTCCTCCTCTTCTCCCCCATTCATTTGAGGAGATTGCCTTGTGAGTGTGCTGCTGCTACTCAGCTCCAACTGCAGCTCTGTAAGAAATAGAGCTCTATAAAGAGTCCAAGGCTCTATAAGTACATAGCAAGGTGAGAGTGAATGGATGAAGGGGGAATTGGAAGGATCCCCATTGGGATCTCCTGAATCTCCAATTGGGTAATTGGAGATTGGGGGGATCACAATTGGGTGACGTTGGGATTTGTGAGTACTCTCCAACCCACCAGAACATTCATAACCTAAACTAGGATATAAAAGTACAAATACAAAAGTGGTATTTGCAGTCTATTTCTAACACACCCCCATAGACTGCAAACCCGGTCAAGGAGCACATAGCCCCATGGAACGGAGAAGGCGATGGTGGTCAGCCTTGCCGAGAGCCTTGGTAAAGAGGTCGGCGAGGTTGCAATCTGAGGCGATGTACCGTACCGTCAGCTGGTCACTCTGAACAAGATCTCGGATGAAGAAATGACGAAGTTCGATGTGCTTGGTGCGAGAGTGGAACACAGGATCCTTGGTGAGGTGAATGGCACTCTGGTTGTCACACCACAGGGTGGGCGACTGCTGGGGGTAGCCTAACTCAGCGAGGAGAAAGGAGAGCCAGCCCAAGAGCATCTTGCGTATGACTTCGTATGCCGGAGTGAGGCCGACTAGGAGAGCGGCTGCAGGGGCTTGCTCAGGGAAGACTATCCCCAACTGTTTAAGTTCACCATAAATGGACTGCACCTTGGTGACATAGTCCGCCATGCCTATTGAGTCTTCGAGCCGCACTTGGAACATGCTGGGGATGAGTACAGCAACTCCCACTGCAGTCTTGTTCAGGAAGCGATCTTCGAGGTAGAGCCAAATGGCGTTGGCAGACAGGTAGTTGTGGTAGGTTTCGTCGAGTTCGGAAGGAGTGGTGCCCATGAAGACACTAATGACCGCACCATCGGCCTTCTCCCAATTCTTGTACTTGAGCAGTGCAGCAGCATAAACTGCTTCGGCGGCGGCATTAGCTGGATCGGCGGACCTCTCGGGTTTAGGAGGCTCTTTGCCGTCACCGATGTTGAGAAGGACGTCGGTGAGCTCGAGCCCCTTCACCTCGCGACTGAGGAGGTGTTTGTCGACACCATAGCGCCAAGCCTTGTAGTTGGAGCATGTACCGTCCGGTTCGAGACGAAGGAGCGAGATCGGGTTGGCGAGTGAAGTGGTTGAGTAAGCCATTGTCGGTGTGCAGCGCGGCACTTCTGGAAATTGGTCGACGAGAATTGCTGAAAATCACTCTGGCGGCTTCATCAAAATGCCGCTAAGTAGGAAATGGCGTCGGCGAAAATTCGTTAAAACGCCGACTTGAAACTGAGTCTGAGCCTATGTCTAACCCCGGACCCACACACCCCCTCACACACCCCCAGGCCCTGTCCCGCATCTACACAGCTCCGCAACCAGCTCCGCAACCAGCTCCACAACCAGCTCCGCAACCAGCTCCGCTCCGCTTCAACCTGTGTACCTGCTCTTGATTTGACGCGAGACGTTCGTGGAGGCAATTTCGCGAGGGGAGTTCGCCTATTCTGGCGAGGTCTGAGGGGAAACTCGAGAACGTGTTTTAAGAGATGGTCGAAATTGAGATTCGACCAAAGAGAACCGAGGAGGAAATCGACGATAACAAGCGTGAAAGCTTCAGAGATGAGAAATTCAATGAGGTAGAGCGCGAAGGCGGTCGACGATGAGAGGCGCGACTGCAGAGTGGAGCACGTCGAAATTCCGACGATTCGAAATGAATGTCGCGACGATGAAGTGCGCGTAGCGCGGGCACGTTCAGATTAGGACCTCGATCCGCGTGTGCGGATAGGTCGCTCTGATACCATGTAAGAAAAAGAGTTGAAATGATTGATTAGGTAAGGAACCCAAGGCTCTATAAGTACATGGCAAGGTGAGAGTGAATGGATGAAGGGGGAATTAGAGGGATCCCCATTGCGATCTCCTGAATCTCCAATTGGGTAATTGGAGATTGGGGGGATCAGAATTGGGTGAGGTTGGGATTTGTGAGTACACCTCAACCCACCAGAATATTGATAACCTCAACTAGGATATAAAAGTACAAATACAAAAGTGGTATTTGCAGTCTATTTCTAACAAGCTCCACATGCTCCAAGCCAGTACCCTTCACCTCTCCAAGCCGCACACCAATCTTCGCTTGGTTCTCCGCCTTCCATTCCTTGTACTGTAATTTCTCCATGAACTTGCAATCTCTGCTCACCAAGAACTTCTTGGTAAATGGGTCCCAAAGGAGCCATCCCTTGCTGTTTTGAGCCATGCCTAGGTGCACGGCCCATGTTGCCTTGGCATCAAGCTTGTGCCGAAGTTCCTTAGGCACAAGTGCCATGCATATGCACCCGAACACCCGAAGCATATCCACCTTCGGCTTTCTTCCAATCCATTCCACATAGGGCACCGATTTGTCTTCTCCCACATGATTCAAGGCTCTGTTCTTGGCGACACAAGCATGCCGCACCGCATCCGGCCAAAAGTAATTGGGTAGACCGGCTTCAATGAGAAGTCCCCGAGCCGTCTCCGTGAGTGTCCGATTCGCACGCTCGGCGATGCCGTTCATTGCAGGAGAGTAGGGCATGGTAAAAGAGTGTCTTGTGCCCTGATTCTTCAGCCAAGTTGAGAAGTCCTTGCTCAGGAACTCTCCCCCACGGTCTGCGCGAATCGCCTTCACAAGCCGGTCTTGCTGCCGTTCCACCATCGGCAACCAATCAGTTTTCACCGTCTCAGCTACATCACTCTACTTGGGCAGCACAACACCCAAGTCATGCGAGTGTAGACAGCCACAATGGTGAGGAAGTACTCTGCTCCAGCAGCTCCAAGCTTCAAGGGGCCCACCACATCCATCACCACCTCATCAAGTGGTGCCTTTGCCGTTGCCTCCGAGCAATGGAACGGGTAGCGGGTGAACTTGGCTTGCATGCATGTTGGACAGCCAAGCACCTCATTGGGCTCCCCCTTAATACGTATCCCACTGACCATCTCTTGCTTAACAATCTGCTGCAAAATGGGCAATGCCACATGCCCCATTCGCCGATGCAAGGTCAGCCAATCACACTCTCCCGTAGCGGAAGTCGGGTTGGAGAAAGCGGTACTCACAATTGTGCCCCACAAGCTCTCTCCTTTCTCCTTTGCTGCTGCTGCTTTGCTGATCTTAGGCTTCTTCTCCTCATTTCCACCACCTTTGGCTGCTGCACCACTCTCCTTGGGTTCACACGCCTTACTGGTCTCTCCAAGATTGCATTCCTTTGAGTCACTCTTGGTGTCACTTTGCTTTCCGTGATCACCGCCACCAACCGCTTCACTCTTGGTGCTGACGCTTGCTGCCACTTGCCTCTCTTTAGGCATAGGGACCACTGGGATTTGCCACATCTCATTGTAGATGTCCCTGTCCTCGTGAAGGTCCCAAAGCTTCCGCTCTCCAAGCCTCGTGGTATAGGTTTTGGATCCCTTGGAAGATGTGTCCATGCCGGCCTTTTGCAAACGCCGCACGGAAATCAGGTTGGCTGCAAGGTTGGGCACCCAAAGCACGTTCTTGAGGCCCACCATCTTCCCATCAGCACCCTTGAACATGGCCTTGCCCATGCCTTTCACCTCTGCTCGCTGCCCCAAAGCCGATGTAACATGCTTCACCGGCGACGGTTCGAGTTCGGTGAGCAAGTCCGCACGAGGTGTCATGCTATAGGTGGCGCCACTGTCGATCACCCAAAAGTCCAGAGGGTGAAGAGTGACCTTTCCCACAGTAGCTGGCTCCTCAAAGCCTTCCACAGCTCCTGCTGCTGCTGCCACTTGCGTGGAGACAAAGAAGAATTGGCCTGGGTATCGATCTTCACTCGGGCCCGTCTCGTAGTCTCCACCTTTCATGCTTGCCGCTTCGCTTCCACGACCACCACAGCTTCCACGACCTCTGCCTCTTTCTCACCTTGCTCCTCTGCCCTCTTGGCCTTGAGAAGGGGTCCAACCATTAGGCAGTTTGAAGCAATCTCTCCACATGTGGCCGGTCTTGTGGCAAAAGAGGCATTCGCCATCAAATCGACCGCGCCCACGCCCGTAGCCATTGTTGTTGTTGTTGCTGCCATATCCTCTATTACCACGGCCTCCATTGAATTAGCTGCTTCCAAATCTGCCTCCTCGCCCTCTGCCCCTTCCATGGCCTTGCCCACGGCCCATGCTTGCAACTCCGGCACCATCGGGACCCGCCAATTCACGACGGTGGAAATCTTCTTGCAAGATTTCCCGCTTCACATCTTCGAGCGAGAGGCGGGGCAGATCTTGATTTAGGTTGATGATGAGCGAGGACCATGAGTCTGGAAGTAAGGCCAGCAGCTTGGTTTTCTTTTGAAGGTCACTTTAGTTCAGCTCAGCTCCTTCGGGCCGTGTCAACAAGTCGAATAATTTCTGCACTCCTTCCTACACCGGTTCGTCTTCGTCAATTCGAAGTGCCGCCATTTGCCGCTCCAAGACCACAGCCACCGCCGCTGTTGCAGGAGCGTGTACACCCTTGAGAGCAGCCCATGCCTTTGGTCCCTTTGCTGGTTCACGCTGAAAAGGCTTGATGTGGCGGATTTGGCTGCTCTCCAATGCTTGCCCAAGTAGAAGATAGCCTTGTGCGCTCTTTCGCACCCACAGGCTCGTCTCCGGGTCGTTCTCGGGGCGCTTCTCCTTTCCTTCCATCACCTCCACCAGATCATAGTGGTCAAAGATGTTCTCCATCTTGAAGGACCACTCAGCAAAGTTGTCACCATTGAACTTGTCAAGGCCAAACACTCTAGGCTCATCCCTAGAGGGGCCAAGGCTAGGTTGCACGGGAGCAATGGGTGGATCTTGGTGTTGGCCTTGTACTTGGGCGTCTTCTCTGCCTCCAGCACCTTTGCCAAATGCTTCCCCAGATCTAGGCATGGTCGAAATGGCTCCAAGGGGCTCTGATACCACTTGTTATAATCACAATAGGCTCAGATGTGCCTAAAATGAGAGAAATTGTGCACAGTCTGAATTCCGTTAGACAGCTTCAAATATTGATGCCGATCTGATGTCTGCCTCAAACGGTCATCTGTAAATTGAATCTAAAGCGCGTTCCGGTTGCCTATCAGCAGCAAGTTGAATCATAAAATTTCATGAAAATTTGACGACGCTATGGCGGTTTGACTGGCAGGAGGTACAATAGCACTATAGTCTTAGGAGTACAAACTAAGCAAGAAGAGTTCGAGGTAGGGATGGTTTCCAGCCTCTACATACCCCAATAGCCGAGGTCCAAGTTGGTGGTACACCATCACAGAGTCCCCAACCATGAGGAGAATCGAAACAAACCCAACAAGGGGCTACACCAAGTGAAATATAACACTATTTGAAGTAGCATGACTATTTTAACTATTTTAATACTTTGTCCACGTCCCTTGGGCTTGAAATCTTGAGCTCTTGGTCTTGGTTCAGCAAGATCAATTCTTCTTGAGATGATGAGGCCTTGCTACACACACCTTCGATGAGTTGGACACTTCACACTCGACAAAATAGAGAAAGCACATGCGACGCGCAAACGACGACCTGACATGCGAGTTGTAAAAACTCGCTAATGTCTTGACCGACACAAACCACATTGTGATACACCATTCAAACACACACAGAAGCACTAGATAGCAATGACATAGACTCACAAATCATTCCATGCCATGCATGCACACACACAAACAAGGACGACAAGCCGAGTGCAAGCCATAGGGTTGCACGAACTGAATTCCTATCCCTCTCTTCTGGACTTCCTCTCTCTCTCTCTCTCTCTCTCTCTCTCTCTCTCTCTCTCTCTCTCTCTCTTTCTCTCTCTCTCTCTCTCTCTCTCTCTCTCTCTCTCTCTCTCTCTCTCTCTCTCTCTCTCTCTCTCTCTCTCTCTCTCTCTCTCTCCCTCTCAATGGCCTTGGCTTGAGCGCTGTCCTCCTTTTCGGCAGAAAGGAGCGGGGATGAGACCTTGGCAAATGTGAGGTCCGCAGGAGCAATGCCCAAGAGCATCTTGCGTGTGACTTCGTATGCCGAGTGAGGCCGACTAGGTGAGCGGCTGCAGGGGCTTGCTCGGGGAAGACTATCCCCAACTGCTTGAGTTTACCATAAAAGCACTGCACCTTGGTGACATAGTCCGCCATGCCTGGCGAGTCCTCGAGCCGCACTTGGAACGTGCTGGGGATGAGTACAGCAACTCCCAATGCAATCTTGTTCAGGAAGCGGTCTTCGAGGTAGAGCCAAATAGCATCGGCAGACGGGTAGTTGTGGTAGGTTTCGATTAGTTTGGTAGGAGTGGTGCCCATGAAGACACTAATGACCACGCCATTGGCCTTCACCCAATTTTTGTACTTGAGCACTACAGCAGCATAAACTGCTTCAGCGGCGGCATTAGCTGGATCGGCGGACCTCTCAGGTTTAGGAGGCCCTTTGCTGTCACCGATGTTGAGAAGGACGGCGGTGAGCTCAAGTCCCTTCACCTCGCGACTGAGGAGAAGCTTGTCGACACCACACCATAACGCCAAGCCTTGTAGTTGAAGCATGTACCGTCCGGCTCGAGACGAAGGAGCGGGATCGGGTTGGCGAATGAAGTGGTTGAGTAAGCCATTGCCGTTTGATTTTCGCGAAGCGACGCTCTTAAGTGACCAATATGAAGTTCCGTGCGCAGCGCAACACTTCTGGAATTCGGTCGACAAAAATTGCTGAAAATCACTCAGGCGGCTTCGTCAAAATGCCGCTAAGAACGAAATGGCGTCGGTGGAAATTTCGTTAAAACGCCGACTTGAAACTGAATCTGAGACTATGTCTAACCCTGGTCCCACACACCCCCCCACACACCCCCAGGCCCTGTCCCGCAGCTACACAGCTCTGCAACCAGCTCCGCAACCAGCTCCGCAACCAGCTCTGCAACCAACTCCGCAACCAGCTCCGCAACCAGCTCTGCAACCAGCTCCGCAACCAGCTCCACTCCGCTTCCATCTGGGTACCTGCTCTTGCTTGACGCGAGACGTTCGTGGAGGCGATTCCGTGAGGGGAGTTCGCCTATTCTGGCGCGGTCCAAGGGGAAACTCGAAAACGAGTTGTAAGAGATTGTCGAAATTGATGTTCGACCAGGGAGAACCGAGGAGGAAATTTGGTGATGAGAAGCATAAAAGTTTTCGAGATGAGAAATTCAACGAGGTCGAGCACGAAGTCGGTCGACGATGAGAGGCGCGAATGCAGAATGGAGCACGTCGAAAATTCCGACGACTCGAGACAAATGTCGCGTTGATAAGGTGCGCATAGTGCGGGCAGTCAAGATTAGGACCTTGATCCGCGTGTGCGGATAGGTCGCTTTGATACCATGTAAGAAATAGAGCCGACAGAATTAATATGGTAAGGAGCTCAAGGCTCTATAAGTAGATGGCAAGGTGAGAGAGAATGGATGAAGGGGGAATCCCTATTGGGATCTTCGGAATCTCCAATTGGGTAATTGGAGATTGGGGGGATCACAATTGGGTGAGGTTGGGATTTGTGAGTACACCCCAACCCACTAGAACATTCCTAACCTAAACTAGAATATAAAGTACAAATACAAAAGTGGGATTTGCAATCTATTTTTAACAAAAGGCACGGACGTCAAAGTGAGTTGAGGTCTGCAGCTAGGAGATTGTAAGAAAATCCTCTTGATTTACAACAGCTTGTGCAATAGCAAACGGTCTTTCTTCTGCCGTCTGATGTTGTTGTTGCTGCTGTGGTTGTTGTTGCTGTTGTTGTGCAGGTCGCTCATAGAAGGCAAAGACCCAGCGGACTCTTCTCTAAGGGCTTAATGCCTAGCGGCAACAACAGCTCTTGAATAACTAGAGTTATTAATGCTCATAGAGGCTACAGGATGCACTCGAGATTGTTCTTGGTGTTGCTGAGTAGACTAATTTGCCATTACAGAAGCAAAGTCGGATAGATCGTTAGTAGATAGTCTCAGAATAACGAAGTGAACTCAAGCAAGGGCATACAGGGTGTCATAGGGTTTGGTGTTGGACTCTCTAAGAGCACCAACCCTTCTAGCCTATAACTAAACATATAGAACAAATGTTTAAGTTGACACACTCCCTAGGCTAGGTAAGGGGTAGTGACGAGCAAGAGACACGCAGCTCAGGGCGGCACTACTAGTCCAACCTCTGAGGCCTCCGAAGACCAGTTAGCAAGAGTACAAACTAAACAAGAGTAACTCGGGGTGGCACTCCTAGTCCAGCCACATAGAGAAGAGCCACAAGACCAGTCAAGATAATAGAAGGGGGAATATGTCAGGGTCCTAGCAAGTGAGGAGCTACTAGAACTAGACCAAGCTTTACGCAGTACTTTTGATGATCTCTAGGCGGAAGCGCCTTAGTAAAGACATCAGCTGTGTTGGCACCGGAGGCCAAGTGTACTACGAGTGCCTGACCGTGCTGCTGTAGCTCGCACAAGAGGAAGTACCGCAGCTGGATGTGCTTCGCTCTGCCCTCTAGTCGAGGCTCCTGACACAGGAGGATCATGGCCAGGTTGTCAGCGTACAGGACCGTGGCAGAGCTAGGCCGCTCACCTAAGTCAGTGAGCAGGAACGTCAACCAGCGGAGCTCCTGTGCTACCATGGCACCAGCGTAGATCTCAGTCTTATAGCTGGAATGTGCAACAGACGACGAGCGGGTGGACCTCCATGAGATAGCGCTTGCACAAGGCTAAGCGGAGGCCTTGGGAGGACCTGAGCATCTCAGCATCATCCGCCCACCAAGCGTCTGTGCCTTGTGAGAACCACTGGCCTGCATCCTCCCAGCACTAGCCCCATGCCTGATGTACTTGCTAGATATTGCAACATCCTCTTAGGAGCCGACCAGTGCTGGGGTCGGTGTCTCCCTGTCGCAACAAAGCGAGTGAGGATACTAAGAGGGTATGCGGGATCCGGAAGAGTGCAAGTCATCAGGTACATGAGGCAGCCCACAAGCTCCGCATGCTGACCACTAGGCCCGACCGGCTTGCCATTGACTGGAGCCGAGAGTCTGTAATCTACTGGCAGAGGGGTGGGCTGTGCGGAGGAGAACTGAAGGCCGAACCTTTGAAGGACCTGGCGCACCAAGTGTGATTGTGTGAGAGTGATGGTGCACGCTGCTCTTTCCCTGGAGATCTGCAGCCCAAGGTAGCGGCGCAGCTCTCCTAGGTCAGTGCAGGTGTGTCTCCTCAGCAGTTTGACCTTCACGGAGGCCAGTGCGCCTCTATCTGCAGTAGCGAAGACCAGGTCGTCTATGCAGACTAGCATGTAGAACGAAGTCTGGCTTGAGAGAACAAAGAGGGATGGGTCAACAGAGGACGGAAAGAAATGCAGGTCTGCTAGTGTAGTACGTAGCGTGCCGTGCCACTCACGGGGCGCCTGGCGCAGACCAAAAACCGGGCTCCGGAGGAACCACTCAGTCCTAGGAGGGAAAGTGCCAGAGAAGCCTGGTGGACAGCGCAGGTAGATCAATTTGTGCAGACTGCCCAGGAGGAACGCTGTGGAGAAGTCAAGCGAGTGAAGCTCGTAGTCGCGCTGTGCTGCTACGTGAAGCAACGCCCGATGAGTGGTCATCTTCGGGGTTGGGGTGAAGGTCTGAAAGAAGTCAACGCCCTCGCGCTGACTGAAGCCTCTAGCAACGTAGCGCGTGCTTCACCTTGAAGAGCTACCGGCCATCGACTACGTTTGCCTCAGCTTGGGGTACTGCGTTAACGTACATGCCGGTGGATCTCCAAGATGCCATCTCTGCGTCCATGGGAGTTATCTACTTAGAGGCGTAGGGTCTCGAAGTCGCCTCAGCGTAGGTGCAAGGGGTCGGGATGTCAAGAGCGTCTGGGTCACCCTCAGGGGCTAGCAGCATGGAGCAGAGATGAGGAGCGGACTCGGAGAGGAAAGCTAGCTCGTACTGCCGGTCCAAGAGGCCGTCACTGCCAAGGGCAGGTGCACCCCCGATGGAGGGAGGACGGGCAAGGTCAGAGACCAGAGCATTGGCGTAGTCAAGGCGGTGGGTAGAGGCAAAGTCAGCAATGGCAGCAACAAGAGCCGAGAGACTAGAGACAAGAACGAACAGGTCGGTAACAAGAGAAGCTAGGACACGAGGAACGAGAGGGTAAGCAGCACGGAGGAGGTCAGAGAAAGGAGGAGAGGAGACAGCGAGGGACGACTGAGGAGGTGATGGTAGAACTAGAGTGGGAGGAGCATGAGATGCATGAGAGCGGAGAAACATAGGGTGGACACTCAGAACAGGAGAGACAGGGCGAGCACAAGAGGGACGGTGAGACCACAGAAGTGGGAGGGAGGCATCGGGTCAGGAGAGAGAGGAGGAGAGACAGGAGGAGAAGGACAGGGGAAATAAGCCGGGGACGAGTCTAGTGGAGGGAAAACGGGGCCGTAGATAGGAGGAGGAGGCAGCCCTAGGGGAGGCGCGGGCAGTCGGTTGGGAGAGGGAAGACAGAGGAGGTGAAGAGCGGACACCGGCTGCTGCTGCTGCGGTTGCTGCGGCTGCTGTTGCTGCTGCTGCTCCGCGCCCACACCTGAACCTCAAGCCGCACCACCACTACCTCCAGTACCCGCCACGACAGCACCCCTAGGACCAGCACCCCCAGGACTAGCACCCCTAGAACTAGCACCCTTAGAACGAGAACCCTCAGAGTCAGCACCCCGAGCCCCAACACCCCCAGAGCCCACAGACCCCTGCTACTGCTGAGGCGGCAGCTGCTGCTGCGGCAGCGGCGGCGGTGGCTGCGATGGCTACGGCTGCATCTGCGACTGCTGTTGCTGCTGCGGCCGAGGAGGTACCGAGGCCGGGGGCATAGGTGCCGCAGAAACAGGCAGCACACCCAAAGCCCCAGGACCCCCAGAGTCAGCACACTCCTCCGCCGAGCCAACCGAAGGAAGGGGGGTGATGTGAGATACACCAGACGGGGCAGGACGTGGAGGGGGTCCTACCGGGGGAGTGGGGACAAGGAACAGGGGAGGGGTAACCGGAAGACCTCAGTGGGGGAAGCGGGTGTAGAAGGAG